CCCCCCCCCCCCCCCCCCGGCGCCCCCCTGCCATGCTGTAGAAGCCTTGCGAACCCTGATAAACCATCGTGCAACCCCCACAATATTCGTTTGCTTTTTAACTGGGCTACAAAAACAATCACTGCACTCCATAACGCTACAGTTTGAAACTCTTGGATGACACCGTTTTCAAACGCTCAGGCTGCCCAAAGAGACAGTCAATGGTGGGCATTTGAGAGGCTGCTAGCTCCGGGTTGTGGGGTTGTGGGGGCTTTTGGAAATTCGGGTCTTGAGGTGTTGTGGTTGTGTTTTGGGGTCTTAGAGTGTTCAGATTAGGCAGCCCAGAGCCGTTCGCGTTCGTTGTGTCTTGTGGGTTTCAGTCTTTCCCTGTTAGATGTGGTGGTTTGCTTTATCAAGTTAGAAAAGATTCCCCTAAACCGTAAACCCGGGTTTCCGGCCGAGAAATAGGGCTCATGGCCTCAAGTTCGGGGCTCTGTGGTTTGGTGAGGCTAGCTGGTTCAGGACCGTTGTTAAGGATCCAAGTTCTTAGATGGTCTATACTGTGGCCTTAAAGGCGTTCCTGTACACGTCCGTACATATATGCACATGAACCCTCAGGGGTTAGAATAAGAGCATTAAGCTGTGTGGCTTTCCTGGTCACGGGTTTTTAGCAGCCAGCTTTATGTCGTTTAGGGGCGTTTGGGTAAAGTCAGCATCTGGTTGGGTTTAGGATTTAGGGTCTATAGGGCTTATTGTTCAAGCTTTTGGTTGCCAGTTGCAGGGTGTCGAGTTAAGTCTGCTGGTGCTGCTAAGTACTGTATAGTACTGTGCCGTACAGTGCCCTGAACTTGTAACCCAAGGCTATGGATGTGAGCTTCGGGATTTGGAGGTTCCGATGTGTCAGCACTCGGCGAGGCTCTTGAGCTTTGTGCATCTCGTCCGTCTAAACCTTAAGCCTTAAACCCGATACCACAAACGCACCCAGCCACCCGAACCCCCAATACGGCTCAGGGTTTCGTTTGTAGTTTTCGCGAGGAAGTGTTTATTATAGGCTTTGGTATCGAGGTTCTGGGTTTAGCATGAAGATGGCCTGTACACCCACAGAAACAGCCAGACTCTGAACCCCGGACTGATTACCACGGCTTTATCTTAGCAGAAAGTTTCTGGTGTTCTGGGAATGATTTGTTTCGTGACTTGGGATCCCGGAATTTGGGGCTAAAGAAGTCCCCTGCCGTAGAGCAGATAACCTCCTTGATGGAATCCTCACACAAACTCATGTGCCGTGGTTGTGCTCCCCCAAAACCTCAAGCCGAAACTTTGCACAGGAGGAGTGCTGCTGCCATGCGGCCAGGCAAAAGTGCCAGGCCGTCAACAGCACCGTTCGGTCAAAGGGTTTACGTTTCAATGGCCGGGGTTTTGCTGTATGCTCATGGAGTTTGTGGTTTGGCCGTGCAGGGTTGATTTCGGGGTCGGAGCTGTAGTATTTGCGGCTTGGTCGGCTTGAGATTTCAGGATTGCCTAGTTTGGTGTTTCTTCTCTGTGACAGTCCGAGTTCCGGGTTTTGTGACAGTCGAGTGTAGGGCAGAGTTTACTCAACATCGGCTAAGCCTAGCTAGGTACGCAGGTAGATAGGCACAGATAGACAAATGGGTAGATAGACAGGCAGATTGGAAGCAGACAGAGGGACGGATAGATAGACAGATAGATACATAATCGTATAATCAGGGTCAGGTTCCTACACCTACCTCCTACACCCTAAACCCTACTCCCTAAAATTCCCCCAAAGTCCTAATAACCCTTAACCCCGTCAAAACCCTCATCGCAGAAGCTCCAAAAGCCTGAAGCCACCAAGGCTGAGATTTTGAGGTTCCAGGGTCTCGGGTTGTGCCAGTTTCAGAGGCATGTCTGCCATTTTTCTCTGCTGCCTCCCATGTAATTCTTCGCTTCAAACATGTTCGCTGATGCTGTATTGTGTCAAGGGAACCCTTTTGCCATAGCTTTGTCATAGACATAGCTGATACGCTACATGGAGCGCTGACCGGCGCGGTGAAAACATCTTGCTCGTGTGCGAGAGAAGCGTGCAGCAGTGATTGCTGCTGGTGCTGTGTTTTTCAGCTTTCATTTGTGAGGGCTCAGAGCGCTACCAGAATTGGTAGCGGAGCCTTCCGTGAAAGCGGTTGGCTCCGGGGGCCTTTGGACAGACAGTTGGTCGATTGCCAGACACCCGTTGTTTTGCGAAGGTGACGCCGTAGCCCAGCGGCAAGATGGATCGTGGCAATGACTCTGCATGTGCGTCGTGGGATGGCTCCCAGCATTCGTGGAACGACTATGTCAGAAAGGTGAGACTTCAGTGGGGCCAGAACTCCGGAAAAGCGCAAGGGCCTCCTGGGAGTAGAGCTGGTTTCCAGGCTTTCTGGAAAAGCGTGGGATGTGACGCGTGAACTGGATTTTTCCCGCCTGCAGGACAGAGACGGTGCCGCTTATCTTCTGGAAGTGCTAGAGCAGCGCCTTGGACGGACTCCGGTTCCAGATTTGGGAGTACGCTTGGAGCAGCTGTTCATGAGGACAAGAAGATCCCCAGGACAAAGCATGTCTCAGTGGTCGGCTGAACTCAGGGAAGCCTACCGCAACCTGCAGAGGGCTATGGCCAGAGCGCGGGCTGGAAGCCCTACGAAGACAGGCTCTCCCAAGGCGGGAGGTTCTAGTTCGCCAGCAAAGTTGAGCTCTACGGCCTTGCGGAGGAGATCATGGACCACGGCCGAACCCGAGCCAGGCTTTCGCCTGGACGAAGAGGACAGAGGAGAAGACGGTGAAGACGCTGGCGAACATCCTGACCATGAACTTCCTGTGGCAGATGAGAGACGCACGGGAGCTCATTCCCGAGAGGCTGGCGAGGCATCCGCAGAAGAAGTTCGTGCCTGGACAGCAGAGGAATGGGAAGCATGGTACTCCGGATGGAATGGACGTCGACGCGGACGCTGGGAGAGTGCCAGTGAGGGAGGATCATCCCGAGCTAAGACACCTCTTCCAGAGCCCAGATGGGAACGCTTCGCCTTGGAGGAAGTGGAGGTGTTACCACCAGAAATCCTTGGGTGGTTGCTTTTAAGGAGAGCCAACTTGAGCAGTGCGTCACGTCTCGCGATCCTCAGCGTGACGGGCAATATGCTTGAGTTTGACCTGGTGGAAAAGGCTCTCCGTGATCAAGAGGAGGACCTCCTTGCCTCAGAACGACAACGGGATCCCCGTGCCGCACGACACCGTAGAAGCTACTGGGTGGAAGACCAGCGTGAATGGGGTTTGCTTGCTGGAGATGCCTTCGAAGAGATTCATGAGGGAGGCGACACCTCTCTGGACATTCACTGGGTAGGTAGCAGACTTCCTGCTGAGGTGTACCCTGTGGAAGAGATGGACGAGGAGTGGACCACCTATGGTCATGACGGTGCCGAGATACATTGGGTTTGGTACGACAACGAGTGGCAGACCCAGGACGCCGAAGGCACCTGGTGGACTTGGTCCGACTCCAAGCCCTGGTTGGAGATTGACGAGTGCATGGCCTGCATGGCTGTGGATCCTCAGTCCGGGAAAGAGTTGGCGGACACCTTTGCGACCTTCAGGACAAAGTGAGAACTTTTCGCGAGAGCCGCAACCTCATGAAGGCCGCCCAGACGTCAAGGGGTTTCTTTCCGATGAAGGGCAGCAAGGGCTCTAAGAAAGGACGTCCCAAAGGAAAAGGTTCTGGGCGTCCAAAAGGCAAGGGAGCCAGTGCACTTGCTCTCCAAGGTGATCGTGGGAGCTCCGGCTCCAGTTCTGGACAGAGGCCTGGATTACCTGAGTATACGGGGTGTTTCATCTGCGGGTCCAAGGACCATGACTTCAAAAGTTGTCCCAGTCGCAAGCTTCCTGGCAAATCCAGCGGTTCAGGAGGCAAGTCCTACTTCCTTGAAGGCTTCTACCTCGACGACGTTCCCGAGGGTGAGATCCGGGATAACCACACACCCATGGAAGAGCACAATCTCGAGGTCCCTGTGTATCAGCCGGCAGTCCAGTATGAAGATGTGAGCCGTGACCTTGAGAACACTGTAGATTTAGAGCTTCGGGATAACCACACACCCGTGGAAGAGCACAATCTCGAGGTCTCTTTATGTGCAATAGATGCAGTGTACATGGTGAGCCCAATCGAAGGACCAGATGACGAAGATCACGAGTCTACTCCGCATCCAGATGGTGCTCTGCTGTGTAACACGGAGATCCTGTACGAGGTGCCGTACCCTGAGGCAACGTTTTCGGTGAATGCCCTGGAATCGATGTGGGCCACGTCAGGCCAGATGTACCCAGGATATGCAGTGTTAGACAGTGGGGCTACGGGGTCAGTCGGCTCCTTAGAGGCCATCCAAGCAGTCATGTGCAAGCGACGAGAGCTTTATGGAGTAGAGACAGTGAGGATATGCCCAAACCCTCACAAGACCTTCCGTTTTGGGGATGGTCAGCAGCTGTCAGCTATGAGCTACGTGGAACTGCCTCAGAGACTTCAGCAGCGAGAGATCTCCTTCAGCGTATATTCGCTAGACGTTCCGCGAGTCCCCATTTTGATGAGCATCCGCACTCTCAAGAAGCTGGGGGCGATTGTGGACTTTGGTGAGAGAGACGGTCTGTTTTCACAAGATAGACAAAACCATTGTCATCCCCCTCACCGAGACCCGTTCAGGTCATCTTTTGATCGATCTCACCAAGGACTGGCTGAATGCAGCCGGGAACCGTGAGGGCCGCAAGGATCGGCTACCTTTTGCATCGACCTCCTCCTACCGTGGTGAGCAATACATGAGTGCTGAGGTTGATCGCTGTGAAGGGGATCAGTGCCTGCCTTCGACATGCTTTCCCGAACATGACATGTCAGACAAGTCTGCAGTTCCAGTGTATGATCTCTCCTCGCCTGAGCTGGACCGACCTGTTGAGGAATGTGATGAATGTTCGCAGATGGGTTCAGCAATAGCTAGACCGACTTCCCAATTCGCTTTCGCCCTCGCCTGCGGAGTTCATGGCGCAGCGGCGACCATCGGCACAGGCACCTGTGGTGTCAACGCCAAAGGAGACGTCAGCAGCGGCTTCCTCGGACATCATGGAGAAGAAGAAGGGTCCAAAGGAGAAGACCAAGATCCCCGAGGAAGAGCGCTACGACTTTTTGAGACAGGAGGGCCCGGATCCGAGAGACGGACGCACAGCTGGGGCACCGTGCTACGGAGAGCACCAGATCATGAAACCCGGACGCGGGAGTCTTTCCGGGTCCAACGCTCACGGATGGTGGAGAGTATGCGAACGGTGTCGACTGAGGGTGGCCTACGCACCAGCGTGGGGCGCGCACGGACACTTTCGCCAAGCAGGACCCCTCAACGCGGACGTGAAGAAGGTGGTGTTGGAAGTTGCCGAGAAGGAGAAGGCTGGAGAGACGGTGGACCGCAATGTTCTCAACGCCAAGAATGTGGCCTTGGACGGAGCGGAGAAGTCTCTCATCGACAAGCTGAGCAAGGTTCGTGCCGAGAAGGAGAAGAATCTGGCGAAGTCCAAGAGAGCTCAGGCCAAGTCGAAAGCCACCACGGCAACTCCTACGGAGGCACCTGCTACTCCGTCCACGGTGGACCTGACCCGCGACCAGGCGATGAATGTGACCCCGGGCCGGAAGAAACAACGCGAGAACGCGATCACGGCGGAGGAACAAGAGTATCAGTCTCGGGACGACAGTTGGTCGTCAGTGGAGCTGATTCCCAAGGAGTGAATGAGGAGTTCATGATCCAGCGGGAGAAGGAGGAGATTGAGGACATTGCCGAGCGCCTGATCCTGGACGAGAGGTACGAGGACTTGGACTGCCTTGAGTTCATTGAACTTATGCTGGAGGCCAACCAGGAAAACTCCAACCGGGGTGTTCTGAATGGAGGCGGTAAGAACGAGTACCTGTGCTTTGGCCTCTATGCGTTTGGCAATCACTACGGGGTGACCAACCGCACTCACCGCCTCAGTAAGGCTGTGCAGTACCTCAACAGCTTTCTCCTCAGGCGCATGCCCGATCATCGCTGGACAAGCCTGGTGATCTCCAACAACAACCTCCTACCGATGCATAAGGACAACCACAACATTGGTTGGAACGCCCTGTATGGCTTGGGAGATTACTCAGGCGGTGGTTTGTGGCAGGAGATTGGATCAGAATGTGACTCTGGCGGGAGAGCAGTTCATTGGCGTCCAGACGGAAGTGGAGTCCTTCGACCAGGAGTGATACATGAATCCAGAGGCACTCCAGTCTACTTCCCTCCAAAAGTGAACCATGCCACGGAGCCCTGGAAGGGCAACAGGATCCTCATCACCGCATGGACGAGCAGAGGGCTGCCGGTATGTGACCCGAAGGATCGAAGGTTACTTCGACGACTGCGGTTTCCGTGTCCTTTGAAAAGTGAGATACAGTGTTTTACGAGGGCATGTTCATGCGAGTGCATTCTGGCTGAGGAAGATGAAGAGGGCATGATCACTGTGGAGCGAGTGACACCGGAAGATGTCAAGGAGGACTTAGAAGAGATCTTGCTGACCGCTCAAGAAGATCTGCGTGAACAGGCCATCACGCTGCCCCAGGTGAAGAAGTATGACCTCGACCTGCTCTGCCTGGGAGGACAGAAGCCGAGCTACTTGAGCGAGTGGATTGGAAGTAATGAAGGTAAGAGCAGGGCTCTTACAACTCGTGAATGTGATCTTAACTCTAAGAAAGGCTCCAGCTTTGCAGAGCAAGTCCTGTCTACGTGTTCTTCACGCTGGCTGGAGATTGAACTCCCCTTCTTCCAGGATGAGAATGGGAGTGGAAACTTGCAGCCTGCAGATGCAGAAACAAAGAAAACGCCAGAGGAGAAGAAGAATCATCAAGAACCTGATGATATTTGTTGAAAAACATCTTGCCGGAGGAGGGGAACTTGTGATCCACGGCCGGACCAAGACACTGGCCTGGAAGGATCCCCAAGTGAAGGAACTTCTACAACAGCTAGTATCACAAGGACGACTTCACTGTCTTCCAGGACTGTGCTTACCTCCCGACGAAGTACTACGAGATCGACAGGGATGTTCGGACTCTCGAGTTCGCTTGTTTACTACTTCAACAAAGATTAAACAAGTGTGGGAGCATGTAATTTTCAGGGCCTCAAGAAAGCCGAGGAACAGTGGAGTTGGATTGGTCAAGATATGCTCGATCAGACCGCCGTTGCCCTGACGGTAGAGAGCAACCTTCCTGTGGAAAGTTTTTCGACAGAGGAAAAGAAGAAGTATCAGAAGATTGTGCACCAGTTGCACAAAAGGGCCGGACACCCTTCAAATCACACTCTTGCTGGAATGCTTCGAGCCCGTGGAATCCATGAGGAGGTTGTGAAGATGGCTCTAGACCTTCAATGTTCTGACTGTCAGGAGATGCGACTTGCGGATTCCGCCCCGGCCGTCTCTCTCCACCAGTCTGACACTCCCTGGAAAGTTATACAAATAGACAATGCCGAGCTGAAGGTGGGCAACCAAGTGACCCACTTCATGGTGATTGCGGATGAGGCAACTCACTTGATTGTGGCCGCCTATCTGTTTACCAGGGACAATGCTGAGGGGAGGAATGCCACGGCAGAGGAAGCGGTGACTGCAATAGAGCAACATTGGGTGCAAATGTTCGGCCTACCGGCCACCCTTCGCCTGGACCCTGAAGGATGTTTCAGATCCAAGTTTCTCGAAGATTGGGCCTCTGAGAGAGGAGTTGAAGTACTTCCCAGCCCAGGAGAAGCTCATCAACAGACAGGGCTGGTGGAGTCTTTAATTGGCAAGGTGAAGAAGGATGCGATCACCTTGATGGCTGGCGAGGACATTGATCCTTTCAGAGCCATCCTGAACGTTGTGGCTGCACATAACACGGTGCACCGCGCAAAAGGCTTCTCTCCGGCTCAGTGGGCTTTCGGAAGGGATTTTGGAAGTGATGGCAGGCTGTTTGACAGCGAACATGGACTTCCGTGCATCCAGGCGAAGATCTACAATGACACAACCTTCGGCGAGAGCCTCAATATCCGAGAGGCTGCTGCAGCAGTGTATCGCAAGTCGCAAGCAGACCACCAGATGTCTCGGCTGATGAACATGAAGACAAGGCCGAGCCGACAATACCTGCCGGGCGACCTCGTGTACTACAGAAGAGTCAAACCACCCGCGGACAATCCTGCTCATCCAGCGCTTGGAGCACCCAAGATCAATGGGGGACGCTGGTATGGACCGGGCAGGGTGGTGGCCTCGGAGACTCGGTCTGACTGCTATGGTTTGGAACGCCGGCCAATGAAAGTGGTGTGGATCTCCTCAGCTGGACGGCTGAAGAGATGTGCCCCTGATCAGCTGAGGCACGCCTCAGAACGAGAGGCAATCCTTGCTGAAGAAGCAACCGAGAAGGTTACCCCGGGATGGACGTTTCATTCTCTTCTTCGTGGCCTGGACAAAGGAAACTTTGAGATCTTCGACGACTATGTTTTCCCAGAGGACTCGGAAGTGAAGGTGTATAGGCGAAGTCACCACTCAAGAACACATGCACGAGGAGATCGACAAGCACAGCAAGCGGTTCCTCAGCAAGAAGCAGAGGCACCAACGTCATCTACTACGAGTCAGATTCCAAGAACTCCAGGACGAACAGGAGAGCCACCAACGTCATCTACTACAAGTCAGATTCCGAGAACTCCAGGACGAACAGGAGAGCCACCGACGTCATCTACTACAAGTCAGATTCCGAGAACTCCAGGACGAACAGGAGGTGCATCGGGGGTCAAGAGACATGTGTCGTTAGATCGATATCTCACAGACCCGGGGTACAATCCTGATCTATTTCAACAGGCCATGAGGCATCCAGAGGGTCCGGGATCAGAAGATGCAGCCAGAGAGCTTCAGGACAATGCTGTGTTCAAGAAGGCAAGACAACAGCATGAGCAGCTGGACAGACCCCTACATGTCATACAGCAAGAACGTTCCCAAGGAGAAGTTCTACCTCCCGATGCAGCCATGTTTCATCTAGAAGGACAGGATCCAGTGTCAAATGATGAGCTGATGATGTGCAAGTTTGAGATCAAGCGTGGGCAATCGCCCTGACTTGAAAAGCACTGGGGGACATCTGGTATGTGCTTCTGTTCCTGCAATTCTTGAAGGAGAACCTGCTCCAGTGATTCCCATCTCTTGGAAGAGTGGGAAGTTACAGCGAGTATCGCGCTCCTCACTCGCCGCAGAAACGCAAGCATGCTCAGAAGCGGAAGAAGAGTTGATGTATGTCCGAGTCCAATGGTGGGAAATGCTTGGATACGATATTGATCTCAGAAGGCCAGAGCTAGCGTGCAGCAAGGTCACCGGGGCCCTCATCACTGATGCCAAAAGTCTATATGACGTTCTGATGAAAGGTGACCTCAACAGTGCAGCCGCCGGCCTGAAGGAGAAATACAGTGCCTTGGAGGCCCTGTCTCTGATCGAACGCATCCAGGCTGCCAAGACCAAGGTCCGTTGGGTACACAGCGATGCTCAAGTTGCAGATGCTTTGACTAAGCCGGCACCGAGTGGAGCTCTACATGCTTTGCTGACTCTGGGCCGCTGGAAGCTTGTATATGACCCGTCGTTCACAAGTGCGAAGCGAAGGCGCCAAGAATTCAATGTTCGGCAGTAGATTGTTGGGCGTGCCAGTTTCAGAGGCATGTCTGCCATTTTTCTCTGCTGCCTCCCATGTTCGCTGATGCTGTATTGTGTCAAGGGAACCCTTTTGCCATAGCTTTGTCATAGACATAGCTGATACGCTACATGGAGCGCTGACCGGCGCGGTGAAAACATCTTGCTCGTGTGCGAGAGAAGCGTGCAGCAGTGATTGCTGCTGGTGCTGTGTTTTTCAACTCTCATTTGTGAGGGCTCAGAGTGCTACCAGAAGGTTGGGGTTTGGGGGCTGCGTAGTTTTGTTTTTCAGTTTTCAGGTTGAGGTCTGTGGCCTTTAGGGTTTGGAGTTTAGGGGCTATGTAGTTTTTTTTCAGTTTTGGAAGTTGAAGCTTGTGGCCTACAGGGTTTGGGGTTTCGGGGTCAGGGTCCGCCCCAGCCGCAAAGCTGCATTCCCGCGGACGAGGCGGCGTGAACGGCAGCATCCATTAAGCCGTGGACCGGGAAAGAAAAGGTCCCAAAATTGGCTCTTACTGGCTTTCAGGTCTGCGCATGAAAGTATCATAACCCGAAAACCCGCCGACCCTTTCGGCTTAGGATTTACAGTATATTTAACCTTTACAGACTCTATACAGACAAATAAATAGATATTATGATATTAAACACATAACAGAACAACACAAATACACAATGTATGAATACATGCATGCATACATATGTACATACGCCCTTATAGTAGTCCTTGCGGTACAGCATTTGGCGCTGAGGGTGCGCTTGCTTGTCACCTGGCACCCTCGACCCGAAATCCAAAAAGGAACCCACACCCCAAAACTTTTAAACTTCAACCCAAAACTCTACATGCCTTATACTGCTTATGTCGAGTCTTTCGGCGTCCCCACTTTTCGGGCATGGGGTCTGTGTACATCAGGTGTCATGGCTGGCACTCTCATGTAAGGCACTGGACCCAAAGATCTGGCCGGAATCCTGCAGCCCTCAATCTGAATGTGGGGCCCGGGATCATTCGAGTAGGATTTGTTGTTGCATCTTTAACCATACACGGAATTTGGGGGGTCCATGCATTGAATAATTCTCGGAAGTACTGCGGCTCCTTGATAGCCGTGCCTCCCACGCTGCCGACGTTGGCTCAAGTATAGTATCTGTTTCTCGCTTGTTCCTCACTCCGCCAGCTTGGGAGCGCGGAGAATGACGCAACAACAGTTCCAGACAGGCTACTTTGGGTTGTGGGTTTTGGGCTACTTATGCTGGGGGATTTATTATGCGGGTTATCTTGGGATGTATCAGCTTCAGAAGGGTTTATCAAGTACCCTGAGAGCCCCTGAACCTTCAATCCAAGGGTGTTCGAAACGAAATTAGAGCTGCAGAGGCCTTAAAGACGTATATAATCCTAAACCCAAGACCCAAAACCCTAAACCGTGCATGGCTTTATTGAGTTAGTTAAGGGCTTCAGGTGCCACCGCGGTTGGTTGGCAAACTCCAAGTTGTACATCACGGTTCGGTCTGTCGGGCTTGTTCGGGCTTTGCAGTAGAAAGCTTTCGTTTCTGGTCCAGGTCTTCGCACACAGGCTTGGAATGCATGATGTAGTTCAACATGTAAGGCTTAAGCCCGATAAGGTTTTGACTAGTCACAGTTTCAGGGTTAAGGGTTTTTGTAGTCAACCTAAACCCTCAACCCTATTAAAGCCTAAAGCCTAAAGCACACACCCTAATCCTTAAACCCCAGGAGCTTGCAGCACTGGCGGTGCTTTGGGATTGATAGGGGTTTAAGATTTGGGAGTTTCCGGAAATAGGGGACCCCGATACAGTACCCTAGATAGTAGGGTTCTTATTATAAGGACCCCAAAATAAGGTACCCCTTATTTTCGGAAACTCCCATTTCGGGTTTGCAGCTCAACGAAAACCTAGGCCCAGCTAGTCCCCCAATCTGGCAATCGCCTCAAAGCACCTTCAACTTAAAAACCCCTGAAAGGCCCAATGTCGCTTTAGGGTCTATAGGCTTCAGGATGTAGGGTGTGGGGTTTGGAATTTTCGGGTTTAGGGGTTTACGGTCCGCTAAGTCAAAAAACCCTCTTGATGGGCTTGCCTCCTTTCAAGGCGGCTGAGGAATCGAGGAGCCGCCGAAGGGTGGCAATGCTGACGCCCCCGATGCTTGTCTCAGAGTCTCAGGGTTTGCAGGTTTAGGTTTTAGGGTTTAGGGTTTAGGGTTTAGTGTTCAGGGTTCAGGGTTCAGGGTGTGGGGTTGCAAGAAGTGTTTCTATTCGGGATATAGAATTAATGAAGGGCTTCAGAAGGGTGTAGGGGCTCAGAATTTCAGGGTGTTAGAGGGTTTCAGGGACTCAGGGCATTTATATGGATTTAGAGTTGGGATTTTGAAGATGTGTTGGGTGATTCTTTGTAGGAATCAATTCTACTGGGGCTTATCAGGGCGTAGGTTGACAATAGAGCTCTGAATAGCCAATAGGTAGTAGTGATATAGTTCCTGATAGTCCAATCCCATTATTCCAGCAGAATAAGTCCCAAACCGCTGTTCGTCACGGCTCCTCTAATCCCTACATACGTATGGTATGCTATACCATGATAGGCACCGAAATCTCAGTCGAACTATTTATTATGCCCCCCTCCCCAAAAAAAAAGAAGACGCATGCAGGACCAGGTTTCTAAGTAAGTAAGTAGGGCTCTAGGCACCGTAACTAGATAACAGTTTCTTGCAAGCCCAGTTACTTAGATACATGAGTTTAACCCTAAACCCTAACCCTAAACGGGTTTCCAAGTTCCCGGATCCGTCGAGTAGGAGCAGCTCAGGACGAGGTGGCGGAGAAGAGAGGGGTCTGCGCAGCTGTATGCTCGTGCCCTTGCAGCACAAAGAATCGTAACCCTGCGTGCGGAATTGTACAGTGAGGTTGTAGAAGTGTGGGTTTTTGGGTTGAAGATGCCGGCACAACTTGTAACATATTCCTCCTGTGTAGTCCCTGTAGTGTGACGGCCGTGCAGCATAACATCCCTGTACACCCTCTTTGAATCATTACGGCCCCGAGGAGATGCTGTAGGTCTTGAGGGCGATTGCTTTTCCTAAAAGTACCGCCGTACCGCGATAAGGAACCCGAATGTACGCTCATTCACGCAGCATGGTATCGAAATGCGGAACGTGCATAGCTGCAATTGACCCAGCTCCGATACGAACTGACTCAGTCAGGTTCTGATGTGACTGCTTAGGGTGGCTATAGCTTCGAAATTGAATTGCTTATCACGCACCTAGTAAGGTACTTTTAGCTTTTGGCCCTACTTGCTGAGCCCCCGGGCTCGAGAACCTGAACTCTGGGTGGGTCTGGTTCCGGGCTTGGGTGTGGATCTCAGTGTTTCTGAGACCTATATAGCGGCCACGAAGACTTCGTAATGCTATTCCCCAGGGTGTATGTACTGGTATAAGCATGCGATGATATTCTCCGAAACCGTATTCCGAATCATCACCCCCTTTTATTTTTGGTTGTCCTGGGCATGCCATACAAATTTTGGGGATGACTGCGTTTATGTGCTTCCGGAAATGGATCGAATAGATCACCGTGAAACCCCTTCGACTCATTTCATGCTCCTCGATGATTCAACGGAGGAAATTAGTTAGGGCTGACATGCATAGTACAAGGCGGTCCTCAAGGTCACAGGCCTGCAGATCAAGTCGAGGTGTTGCAAGAATGCGGTTCGCAGCATGGCGACAAGGCTCACAAAGTTCAAGGCAGGACCGTCCAAGCGTGCGGTTGGCACTGGACAGCATGACTGCGAACACCCAAGAGTAAAGTCGGCTGCCTTGGCCTTTGAGCGGGAGTGCCGGCTCCCAGGATCTCCGAAGCGGGCTTGCTTGGAGTGAAAGCTCGAAGCTGCAATCAAGTGGCAAGCACGCGCGAAGGACGCTGATCGTCGCCACGGTGCGGGGGCTAGACAGCGATCCTACTACAGATTCCTTCTCCATTCATTTCGTGGCAGACTGCTTCTTCGAACTGGCCATGAACGTCCGTCCTTCCATGCGTGGGTCCATCCGTCATGCCGCCGTCCGTCTGTCCGCTGTCCGTCCGTCCATCCGTGGGTCCGTCAGTCCGTCCGTCTGCGGTCCGTCCGTGTCCGTCCGCGCTTTTGTGGGACATCGAAAGGTGGCGGTCGGACATCCAAAGCCAAAGCCAAAGCCGAAACTTATTTTTCGGTTGTTCTCGTCCATAGAGCCTGTGCATCAGCCACACGTGCCCGCAGCCCGAACCCTTATAACCCAAACCTGAACCCGGCACCCCATTCCCGAAAGCCAAACCCTGAACCCAAACCCTATAAAGCTTAAGCACCTTAATCCCGAAACCAGAGCCCGATCCCCGAACCTTAAACTGCAATCCGTAATCACTAAAGCCAAACTCTGAACCAGGCGCCCGAAATCCAATCCCTAGCTAGACCCTCCATCTACCCTCTAGCAGACCCTACATACCCTTAATTTGGGACCATAATAACAGACGGTTCAGGACTTGTAGTGTAATGCAGGCCACAGGTTGACAGTTGACACTGTCTCTCTCTCGCTCTCTCTCTCTCTCTCTCTCTCTCTCTCTCTCTCTTGGAATAAGGGTAGCGAGCATCCATAGGGATTTAGAGTTTAGGGTTTTAGGGCTTATCGGCCTTAGGGTTTGGTGTTACGAACATCCTCAACAGGTGATATGCGTCGATGGGTTGGAGGTCTACCTTTATACACTTAGCCCGTCCCCTCAATCTTTATCGACCCACCTGAAAGATCAACATCCCTAAACCCTAAACCCTAAACCCTAAACCCTAAACCCTAAACCCTAAACCCTAAACCCTAAACCGTTAGTTGTCGGCTCCTAGGTTCTACCAAAGCCCCGAAAGGCTCTCTCAATGTACATAGCTGGATGCAAAGTTGCAAAAAGGAGTTCCCATACACACCTACACCGTTAACACCTACCTTAACCCCTAAAAAGCTTTGATTTTGAAGGACGTGCATAAGGAAACCGTAATAAGGAACCCCAAAAGAGTAGGTTCTTTCGGGTTCAGGCAAGGTCCCATAAAACTAGTGGTTTTCCAGCGCGCAAGACCGCTTGCATTTGCGAAGGTTGCTCCTCTCCATTCCGTCCCTCGTGGGTGCCTCCAGATGAAGAGTTCTAGCAGCAGGGTTCAATCGAAGCTCGGGTGTTAGGGTTTAGGGTTTAGGGTTTAGGGTGTTAGGGTTTAGGGTTTAGGGTTTAGGGTTTAGGGTTTAGGGTTTAGGAGGTCTGTGGTGTTGAGTGAGGGATTTAGGGTTTGGGGTTCAGGGCCATGGGCTCAGGGTTGGGGTTAAGGGTTTAGATTTAGGGTAAGCCAAAGAAGCCTCGTTGCCTATATAGATCTATATAGGGGGTTCCTGTTCCTTAAACACAATACCAACGTAAAAAAAGCTTTTAAGATACCCGAAGCCAGCATGGAACCCCAATGTTGAAGAGGCATCATTCGTC